AGGAAGACCAGACGCTCCCCCGCCGCTTTCCCCTCCGGGGGATGGTCAAACACCGCCCTGAAGCGGCGGGAGAACTCGTCGTACGTGATGGTGTCCGCGTCGATCCTCCTCCACTCCGCGTTGGCCCATTCCAATGCCTTCCCGGAAAGGCAGGAGATCAGGGCGGACACGCTCTCATGTCCCGAGGGCGCCGGGTGCACGGTGGCCAGGTACAGCTCCACCTGGAGAAGGAATCCCTGACACCCGGCCGCGGTTCCATCGTAGGCCCTCGGGAGCGAGAGTCGGACTCCTCTGGGTTCCGGTGCGGGAATGGGCGGACTGGCCGATGGTGCTGGCAGGGAGGGTGGCGGTGGAGGCGTTCCCCAGCCTCGGATGGTGGTGATCACCTCCTGCAGTGCGGTCCCCATCTGCAGGATCTGGTCCCGTTGTTCCCAGACCTGGTCCTCCAGCGTCGTCTGGGCTGCTGCGGCTCCTGCTGATTCCATTATTGGTGTGTTATTCTGTCACGCGTGCTGTAGGTGGGTGTAGTGGTGGAATCAAACGCAGAACACCGAAGGATAGTCCAAACAACTTTAGTAAATCTCCAAGCAGGAAAAATGACAACACTTGCCTGAAGGCAAAAATACGCACAAAGGCGAATAAGCAAAAAGCGCACTAACAGGTGCGTAACGCTCCAACGCAGTGGAGGAAAGCTCAACCGAGCGAAAGGGCGAAAATAAGCCCAACACACGACAGACCAAAATCAATAACACACAACACTAGACAAACACAACGAGAAACTTATAGGACACTAATTACGCTAAACGAGAACAGGTGTGACAACAAACAGACAAAAGCAAACGAACATGAAACATATAACGGTGGCAGCTAGTATTCCGGAGACAACGAACGCCGAAGCCTGCCCGAACAAGGGAGAGAGGCAGCCTCGGCCGAAACCGTGACAGTGACAGACCAATACTGGTTCATAACATGTGACAGACCAATACCTCACAAGGCTTCTTCTCTCTAAGCTGAGACCTTGAAACTGAGATATCTTTTGTTCTCAAAACAAGGTCTGGGTGTACTGCCAAATTGCAGATACTGATAAGTGAGGATTCGTCCTATCAGTCACTTGCATGAACACAGAAATTGGTTATTAGAACAGCACATGAATAGAACATAGAAATGTATAGAATAGAAAAGCACCAACATTAAAATGTCCGTCATAGCTGTCAACAGTTGAAATATGTTTAATTGTAAAAATGTTACTATCGATGTTCCCGAACAGATTTCACTTGGTTTCCCAAACTAAGCACTGGGTAGCTGCAGGAATAGGATTGGAGAGCCCCTGGCATACAGAGTTTCATCTGTCACGCAACGAGAGGCTGCATGCTCCTCAAACAGTGGTTGATGCGTGGAGTGAAATAGGCTAAGAGTTCTTATAAGCCCAGACATTTCTATATGCAATCCCGTATGAAAGCAGCTACTATATTTATTTCTCAACTGCTTAATAAAACCGGAGTAGCCTACCCAGCATGATTGAAAAACGAACTCCTGGGAAAGCGGCCTCCATTCACTATTCAAATGTATGCAGATGATCTAGTTTTGCCCCTGTTCCTGCCCATTTGATAATGGGCCATTCTAAATCTAAACTAATTTAACATATTAGTAAAGACAAGATTAAGTTGAAAATAGTCTGATGGGTGAAAATATGATCACTTGATGAGAGAACAGCGTGTGCAGCCTGAGGCGAGGAACAGAGCGCAAGGTTTTTTTGCAACTTTTTCCAATCATCAATATCCTATAGTTGCATCATGCAGCCCATACAGTGAGGGAAAAAAGTATTTGATCCCCTGCTGATTTTGTACGTTTGCCCACTGACAAAGACATGATCAGTCTATAATTTTAATGGTAGGTTTATTTGAACAGTGAGAGACAGAATAACAATAAAAAAATCCAGAAAAACGCATGTCAAAAATGTTATAAATTGATTTGCTTTTAATGAGGGAAATAAGTATTTGACCCCTCTGCAAAACATGACTTAGTACTTGCTGGCAAAACCAGCAAAACCAGACGTTTCTTGTAGTTGGCCACCAGGTTTGCACACATCTCAGGGGGGATTTTGTCCCACTCCTCTTTGCAGATCTTCTCCAAGTCATTAAGGTTTCGAGGCTGACGTTTGGCAACTCGAACCTTCAGCTCCCTCCACAGATTTTCTATGGGATTAAGGTCTGGAGACTGGCTAGGCCACTCCAGGACCTTAATGTGCTTCTTCTTGAGCCACTCCTTTGTTGCCTTGGCCGTGTGTTTTGGGTCATTGTCATGCTGGAATACCCATCCACAACCCATTTTCAATTCCCTGGCTGAGGGAAGGAGGTTCTCACCCAAGATTTGACGGTACATGGCCCCGTCCATCGTCCCTTTGATGCGGTGAAGTTGTCCTGTCCCCTTAGCAGAAAAACACCCCCAAAGCATAATGTTTCCACCTCCATGTTTGACGGTGGGGATGGTGTTCTTGGGGTTATAGGCAGCATTCCTCCTCCTCCAAACACGGCGAGTTGAGTTGATGCCAAAGAGCTCCATTTTGGTCTCATCTGACCACAACACTTTCACCCAGTTCTCCTCTGAATCATTCAGATGTTCATTGGCAAACTTCAGACGGGCCTGTATATGTGCTTTCTTGAGCAGGGGGACCTTGCGGGCGCTGCAGGATTTCAGGCTTTCACGGCGTAGTGTGTTACCAATTGTTTTCTTGGTGACTATGGTCCCAGCTGCCTTGAGATCATTGACAAGATCCTCCCGTGTAGTTCTGGGCTGATTCCTCACCGTTCTCATGATCATTGCAACTCCACGAGGTGAGATCTTGCATGGAGCCCCAGGCCGAGGGAGATTGACAGTTATTTTTTGTGTCTTCCATTTGCGAATAATCGCACCAACTGTTGTCACCTTCTCACCAAGCTGCTTGGCGATGGTCTTGTAGCCCATTCCAGCCTTGTGTAGGTCTACAATCTTGTCCCTGACATCCTTGGAGAGCTCTTTGGTCTTGGCAATGGTGGAGAGTTTGGAATCTGATTGATTGATTGCTTCTGTGGACAGGTGTCTTTCATACAGGTAACAAGCTGAGATTAGGAGCACTCCCTTTAAGAGTGTGCTCCTAATCTCAGCTCGTTACCTGTATAAAAGACACCTGGTAGCCAGAAATCTTTCTGATTGAGAGGGGGTCAAATACTTATTTCCCTCATTAAAATGCGAATCAATTTATAACATTTATGACATGCGTTTTTCTGGATTTTTGTTGTTGTTATTCTGTCTCTCACTGTTCAAATAAACCTACCATTAAAATTATAGACTGATCATTTCTTTGTCAGTGGGCAAACATACAAAATCAGCAGGGGATAAAATACTTTTTTTCCCTCACTGTATATGTTTTGATTTCTAAGACATTCTAAGGTTTGTATCATTGAAAACTAAAGTTGCCAAATAACTCTAAATCTAGCATATAGGACCTGTTTCAAATGATCACGTTAATGCTCAACATAGCCATTTCATATGCGCACTCGCTCTGGAATGAGAAAAATATCATTTCGATTATATTTAGCTAAGTTCAGTTATATTCTTCTTACTATAAAATCCTATAATATAAATAATTGCACGGGACTTATAAGCATATCTTGTCTGCTAAATTAACTAGCCTACAGCCTGGAGCATAGCCAGATAACATCATGTAGACCAACTCATTTTCTGTTATTCTGAAGAACAAAATATATATATATATATATATAATATTTCTTTAGACCTGCCTAAACTAAATAATGGATGTATTGTGATGGTGTATATTAAATTGATTTATAGACTTTTAAATGTAGTTGTTCCAAAATGTAGTTGTTCCAATCAGTGGCTGCTATGCGTGGAGGCCTGGAGATGCTAGGAACTGTTAGTCCCCAGTTCCTGAGTGGCGCAGTGGTCTAAGGCACTGCATCGCAGTGCTAACTGTGCCACTAGAGATCCTGGTTCGAATCCAGGCTCTGTCGCAGCCGGCCGCGACCGGGAGACTCATGGGCGGCGCACAATTGGCCCAGCGTCGTCCAGGGTAGGGGAGGGAATGGCCGGCAGGGATGTAGCTCAGTTGATAGAGCATGGCGTTTGCAATGCCAGGGTTGCGGGTTCGATTCCCACGGGGGGCCAGTATAAAAAAAAAATATGTATTCACTAACTGTAAGTCGCTCTGGATAAGAGCGTCTGCTAAATGACTAAAAATGTTTAAAAAAAAATGCTAAATGTGTTTATGTTAACAGTCAATTACCGTGAGACCAGCAGTCATTTGCATGACAAAAACCAGCTGACAAAATGTAATGACCAGTACTGCCCTAGTCAAGGATCCAAGTCAAATGAAACAACCAAGTCATTGGTGTACTTATTGTTTTCTGCTCCATCCCTTATGGAATAGCATAGTATACTACTGTATATACTGGAATAGAGTAGTCTCGGAAATCCCAGACCAAGGGAATTTTTTAAAAATTATTAATGTGGGAGGCAACTGGTCTGCCTAGGGAGACTAGGTATAGAGTACGGGCTACATACAGTCACCGTGGCATACAAATAGTCTAATGATCTCATCAAATGTAGCCATTCTGTTTTTGGAACCCCAAACATTTTGGTAAGGAAGTAACAATGGATTGCTCAAAGCAACGGACCAAAGCGAGACTCAGCTGGGAGGTGTTGAGACAGAGAATCAGCCAGGATGCCCTGGAGCTAGAATGAACCTGCTCGTTCACTCCTACTCACTGGGCAAACCAGTTGAATCAATGTTGTTTCATGTCATTTCAACAAAAAAATGCAATGTGACGACATTGAATCAAAGTGGAAAACGGATTGGATTTTTTTACCCAACTTTTATCCTAAATCCAATGACATGGTTTACATTTTTGTTGATTTCAAGTTGAAGTCACGTTAGTTGATGTCAATGTGAATGAAGCACGTCATGCAATGTATTTAAAAATCAGTTACAGAGAGGATTGCATTGAAACATATTTTATTAAACATGAGATGAACGCAGAATAAAAGGAGACCAAAAACATGGACAATACATAGATGTATGGAAAAAAAACAAGATTTATTCATAAAGCACTTTCACAAATGCCCTGTAAAAAATTTGGGGACTAACAGTTCCTACAATAAATAAATAAACCTTCTACAGTACTATTTAAATTAGTCGACATCTTCTGATGTCTGGAGTGTTAGCAAGCTATTCTGCTGTTCTACATACAATGACACATCCTCCAGGAAACTGGATGGGAGAGCAGACTCATGAGCTATACGGTTACCACAGTGACCACGTGGTCTATAGCACAACACATGTCAAAGGCTTTACCAAGCTTTACCACTCTACAACGTGGAGGAACACATTCAAATAAAACAGGTCTGGACAAGCTTCTGCAGGATGATTTTTGTTAATACAGTACGCTACACAGTTTTCAGCAAAAAATAATAACAATGAATTAATAATCTCGTCAACCTTCCACCTCCAGTCCTACGTCTCCCCTGTCCCACCCTCTGAGGCATCTGTATCCAGAGACTGTGGTTTTAACCTTTACTCTGCTATGCCCTGCCTGCCTACCCCCTTTTTGACTGGGAAACCTCCCATCTCCAACTACCCTGGTCCATACCTCATTAAACCTTTACCGCACAAATCTCATCATCACCCTTAAATCCTTCTATGATAGTTAATGACAGTAGTGACAACGTACAGTAGACTAATGTAGGATACCCAGACACACACAAGAACAGAAACACTAAACAATTAAATAATCTTTACAGCTATGACCCTATTCTTAGAAATATACACACTCACGCAAAACGCCCAACAATAGCCCATTCTAACCCAACATTCTGAGGTTATTTGCCAGCCTTGTCGCAGGTAAAAAGTAGTCACTGTGACGTCAGTGCTCCTAATGGGGGCCTTTATTACAACCTGTGCTGTTTTAAAACTCTGACATAACAGTAGTTTATAGCAACAATACCCATGTACATCTGATGATACCCACAAGATCATTGTAATCTAAGAACAAATTAAGTCCTTGCTAGTTATGCATGCATTCTGGATTGAGCTCAAGCAGGCAACTATTATGTTCACAAGCTTGTATTACATGAGTATTCAAAAACCATGATGTTGTATTTTTAAGATTTACTACCAGCTATATTATATTCATGTGATACTGTAGGTCCACTGTGGTAAGACATGGTACAGTAGGAAGGCTACTGGTGATTTAATGAAAAATCTACACACAAGCAAAAAAGTCTCTGTAATTTGTATACTCGGAATAGTTGTAAAAATAACTATAATTATAATAATTACGTCCCACGAATGGACTATTTGAGAACCAGAAATCTCACAGGAAACTAAGACTTCCTTGGATTTACAAAAAAGTTAATTGACAGCATTAAAAAAAGCTCCCCTGCATCTACCTCATGAAAGTAGAAATTCATATCTACAAAGATTTAAAAAATAACGGCCAAAGCAGGGATTTCCAACATGGTGCACAAGGTGCAGTGAGCCAGTGCTATCATATAAGAATTATAACACTGACGCTCCAATCACTGTTACACGTGCATTTTGCCCTGTCTACTCTCTGTCTTCAGCTTCTCTGGGGTCAGATGAGTTCAAGTGTGTCTGTAGTCAGGGAACTGAATAGCCTTGGCTTTATCAGAGGCACTAGCATAAGCAAATGTTATTGTGTGGGTCCTTCATGTATATTTGGCTTTCCTTTACAGATACATGAAACCTTTCCCCAAAAAGGCTGAAAACATAAAAGCATACAGAAAAACAAACAAACACCCAGACCACAACACATAATGTATGCATTCAACAGCCTGTAAGCTGCTGAAATAGAAGAAGCCATGGCAACAGACAGACATGATGCCCTTCTGGGAAGCAGTTGACTCACTAACTGGGTAATGGCAGAACTACTGTGAAACAGTGAGTCTACCTTGGAAATCTGAACAACAATTCTAGTTTTGGCCTACCAGGAATTTGCATCAAGCCAGGCTACAAATGTCTATCACAACTGACTGAAAGCACAGATTGCAACTACATGAACACACAAACGCCAAACCCTCATTGAAATAATTGTTTGAACAAGAGGACATTTCTCTGCAAACAGAAGTAACATAATCCTTATAAATACAACACTTGTGAACCGTGGTTGAATAATAGAGTACAAAGACATTCAAAAATACAAAATCAACAAAATCTTGAAGACTGAAAAAACATTTGCAGTGAAAACCTGTCTGAAGCTATCCCAACACCTATGCGCAGGGTGGAGGGGGACCGTGCCTGGGCCTGGGCACCTGCCTGGGATGGGGGCTCTGATGGGTACACCAGTCTAGCAGCATGGCTCTCCTGCACTAGAACACTAGGAGATCAGAAGGAATGATTGGACCTAAACACATTGATGGGGGCTGAGTGAGGGTGTACACTGGGAGCAGGGGTAGGGGCCTCGAGGGGGTAGGAGTAGATAAGTGGTCACTGGGGTTGTGTGTCAAGGGGCTTCGTCACTTTAGCTCCTCTTCAGGATTCCTGTGGTACCACCCCAATCAGCTTCTGGCACAGCGCCGTGGAAGAGACTGGAGAGAGAAACACACCGTAAGTTATAATCACTATATAATCAGAAACAGACTACAATCATGCAGATAGATCCAGAGTGCATTGAAGCAATTCATAAGGGAAACTTACAGATAAACTGAAGGAGCCATTTGGGCTTGTTTTGCCACCAAACGCCAATGTAGTAGACTGGCACTCCCGTGGCAATGATGCCAAAGCCAATGGCACACTCCACAGGTGTTTTCCAGATGGACACCACGATAAGGAACATACAAGCCAGGACAAAGCTGATAGGCAGCAGGATATTCACCTGGGGGAAACATTTAAATGTGACACTGAATAAATAAACCAGGACAGACAAACACACTGACACTACCGTTAACAAAACACACAGAGAATGACTGGATTCAAACTAAACCCATCTTGAGGGAATTAAAATAGGAAATATTTTGAAATTGTATGACAGTAATTCGCAAAGCATCTTCATCTACTAAATATAACATTTTAAAAGTAGAAGATAATGTATAGCAAATGGGCCTCTTTCATCAGCCTTACTAAGGTAAATGCTTAAGATTAAAGCTCTGAGGAGGGTTAGATGTGAAATGCTGAGTATTCGTCCAGAGGACCAGAGAGGGAGGGGGAGTGTTTGTGCACTATAGTCAAACTGTGATCAGAACACTGACTCACATCCAGCTGAATGTGGAGAATCAGACCAGTGACTGACATCTTTTCAGAGGCTGCCAAATGCAGTCTGTGATGTTGATCCACACTAACTAAATGAGTACCAGCAAGCGGGTACATGAGAGAGAGATATTCAAAGGCTGAGAGTTGAATGGTCATTGTTGAAGAATCCCTCCAGCCCCTCCATTAGTGGCACAGAGCCACTGTAGGGTCCTCTGTCCCAAACCCAGTTCCAACACAAACACACAGGACAGATTTATCTGTGATAGATAGAGATAGAGAGATCTGAACTGTGCAGCGCTGGCCTCTTTCACTTCACTGCCTCTCTCAGCCACTCCCCTCATTAACACATCGCCATGTCAACCAGACAGACAATTCAGGCCATTATAGGTCCATTTTGGGGGCAGGCAGAGGACCCCACAGTCCCACAAAGGGTCTCTGTGTGCCCAACAGTCCTAGGGCGACTGTCAGTGCACATGCTGCTCTACCTTCACTAGCCAGCAGCTCATGTCCATGGCAGGTCACACTGCGGCCTACGCCTCCAAGTAACCAGTTCCAGCTCCTTTTTTCTTTCTCTCTTTCTCCCTCTCCTCTCTCTCTCGCTCTGGGCTCTATTGGGCGCCGATGACATGGACGTCGATTAAGGCAGCCCCCCGCACCCATCTGATTCAGAGGGGTTGGGTTAAATGCAGAAGACACATTCCGGTTGAATGCATTCAGTTGTGCAACTGACTAGGCATCCCTTTTCCCTTGCAATGGTAAATCTTATTGTTGGTGGTAGCGTTGTAGGTTTTGATGAATAAACAAGTTGTGGGTTTGTCGACGCTTGGCCCCTCACTGGCCGATCAGAGCATGCTCCATGGCTAAATATGTGGTTGCTTCAAGTATTGCATTTACGAATATTACTCCGCTATAGACTAGTCCGTTAAATAGCCTGCCCCATATTTGCTAAATATGTTGAACATTTTTGCAGTCTAAATTTTTCTAATTGAATTGCTTCAATATGGCAATACATTGTTAAACATAGGCTAGAGCATTCACACTGATATAGGGGCTAGACCTACTGTAAACTGCAGACATGGACATGCCAAATGTAGTCAATAAGCAAGATTAAATTCACTAGTCTACTGATAAGGCATGTATAATTCTAATAAAATTCTAATAAAAATGAAACAACTTAAATAAGCTATGTCTAAATACAGTTACAGGCACCATAATTTCTCCCCGTGGGCGTATAATAGAGATAAGGCAACTTAGAGGATTTTATGCACATCCAAACTTTTCAAAGGAGCTGGATCAAGATTCAGTATGAAGAGAAAGGGGGAATGTCCGCTCACCGTTATACTGCTAGCAAATGTAATGTTTTATAAACATCATGGAACCATCTTACAGACCATATTTGCACTTCTCCAGAAATAGCAGACGAAATTGCATTGCATTCGAGCCATGTACAGTGAGGGGGAAAAAGTATTTGATCCCCTGCTGATTTTGTACGTTTGCCCACTGACAAAGAAATTATCAGTCTATACTTTTAATGGTAGGTTTATTTGAACAGTGAGAGACAGAATAACAACAACAAAAATCGAGAAAAACGCATGTCAAAAATGTTATAAATTGACTTGCATTTGAATGAGGGGAATAAGTATTTGACCCCCTCTCAATCAGAAATATTTCTGGCTCCCAGGTGTCTTTTATACAGGTAACGGGCTGAGATTAGGAGCACACTCTTAAAGGGAGTGCTCCTAATCTCAGCTTGTTACCTGTATGAAAGACACCTGTCCACAGAAGCAAGATCTCACCTCGTGGAGTTGCAATGATCATGAGAACGGTGAGGAATCAGCCCAGAACTACACGGGAGGATCTTGTCAATGATCTCAAGGCAGCTGGGACCATAGTCACCAAGAAAACAATTGGTAACACACTACGCCGTGAAAGCCTGAAATCCTGCAGCGCCCGCAAGGTCCCCCTGCTCAAGAAAGCACATATACAGGCCCGTCTGAAGTTTGCCAATGAACATCTGCATGATTCAGAGGAGAACTGGGTGAAAGTGTTGTGGTGAGAGGAGACCAAAATCGAGCTCTTTGGCATCAACCCAACTTTCCGTGTTTGGAGGAGGAAGAATGCTGCCTATGACCCCAAGAACACCATCCCCACCATCAAACATGGAGGTGGAAACATTATGCTTTGGGGGTGTTTTTCTGCTAAGGGGACAGGACAACTTCACCGCATCAAAGGGACGATGGACGGGGCCATGTACTGTCAAATCTTGGGTGAGAACCTCCTTCCCTCAGCCAGGGCATTGAAAATGGGTCGTGGATGGGTATTCCAGCATGACAATAACCCAAAATACACAGCCAAGGCAACAAAGGAGTGGCTCAAGAAGAAGCACAATAAGGTCCTGGAGTGGCCTAGCCAGTCTCCAGACCTTAATCCCATAGAAAATCTGTGGAGGGAGCTGAAGGTTCGAGTTGCAAAACGTCAGCCTCGAAACCTTAATGACTTGGAGAAGATCTGCAAAGAGGAGTGGGACAAAATCCTTCCTGAGATGTGTGCAAACCTGGTGGCCAACTACAAGAAACGTCTGACCTCTGTGATTGCCAACAAGGGTTTTGCCACCAAGTACTAAGTCATGTTTTGCAGAGGGGTCAAATACTTATTTCCCTCATTAAAATGCAAATCAATTTATAACATTTTTGACATGCGTTTTTCTGGATTTTTTTATTGTTATTCTGTCTCTCACTGTTCAAATAAACCTACCATTAAAATTATAGACTGATCATGTCTTTGTCAGTGGGCAAACGTACAAAATCAGCAGGGGAATCAATAACTTTTTTCCCCTCACTGTATGGGCTGCATGATGCAACTATAGGATATTGATGATTGGAAAAAGTTCAAATAAACCTACCATTAAAATTATAGACTGATCAAAATCAGCAGGGGATCAAATACTTTTTTCCCCTCACTGTACATCCTCACCATAAACCATAAAGTTTGTTTTTTAAATAAAATTAAATCGAAAAACAATCACTGATTTTTAAACCAACAACAATATTTCTAAATAGGATCGGGTCAGAAGCATGATATCATAAATCGCTTATCTCATTCCATGGCACTGTGCACACATAGGCCTAAATGTCTTTACGCATAACATTCACACATATATACAAAATACTAGTCTCCTGTCAATTGTATTGTTGCCTATGTGCGAGGCAGATAAAAAATAAAATTGCCATTGATATGGCATTATAGGAAGAATTAATAGTTTGGAGGAGCGGGCGTGTCTTTGGTAATAGGACGAGTGGCGCGCTTTGAAAATGGGGATGGATAGCCTACTCGAATAAGCAAAATTAAGTATGCAGGTATGTGAATTGTGAATAATGAAAACACATGAGAAAAAAAGAAAATATAAATTTCAAAGCACTCTCAGTAGACCATTTAAAACCCCTTTATTCATAGGCTACTTGGTTAATGGCCAGGAAAAAAAGACGCACCTATGCGATGCTGCTAAACCAGCCTTGATTAAGGGGAGGGTAGGCTATTATTGGTTTTTAATCATATTAAACAAAATGAGGGGAAACCAATAGATTTTTTATGTTTCTAAATACAAGATTCACCGGCACAAAATGCACATCTCTCTTCCATGGGCACTGTGCATCATGTCTGGATAGGCCTCTGTTCTGCTCTCACAATCCATGCCATTATCAACTGCGTTACCGTTAAGACCTGCTTTTGTGGGTCTGAAATTGTCAGTTTTGCACGTGTTTTTAAGGACACACCTCAAATATTGCCACCCCTCCCACCTCAGCGCTAGTGAGCTGATGTTAGACAGTTAACTGCTGAACCTGGCATTAGGGCTGGAAAATGCCAGTGTGACAGTTTTTACATGACTAAATTGAAAACGAACGTGCGTCAGCCGAAAAAAAAGAGCTCTCTCTTGCTCTCTCTCTGGTGCCTGATCAGTTGAAAACAGGTTAGAGACATTACACATATTCTCACCTTGATTGGTCGTTCCAGCTCAGGTTTCTTGTAGCGCAGCCACATCATGCCGATTATCGCCATGGCAATACAGAGCCAGTTGAAGAAACTGAAGAAGTTGATGACAGAGAAGATGTCGTTGGAGAAGGCGTACAGCAGCGTCATGAGGCACTGTGAGGGAATGAGGGAAGTATGAGAGATACAGTGGGGGAAAAAAAGTATTTAGTCAGCCACCAATTGTGCAAGTTCTCCCACTTAAAAAGATGAGAGAGGCCTGTAATTTTCATCATAGGTACACGTCAACTATGACAGACAAAATGAGGAAAAAAAAAATCAGAAAATCACATTGGAGGATTTTTTATGAATTTATTTGCAAATTATGGTGGAAAATAAGTATTTGGTCAACAACAAAAGTTTCTCAATACTTTGTTATATACCCTTTGTTGGCAATGACACAGGTCAAACGTTTTCTGTAAGTCTTCACACACTGTTGCTGGTATTTTGGCCCATTCCTCCATGCAGATCTCCTCTAGAGCAGTGATGTTTTGGGGCTGTCGCTGGGCAACATGGACTTTCAACTCCCTCCAAAGATTTTCTATGGGGTTGAGATCTGGAGACTGGCTAGGCCACTCCAGGACCTTGAAATGCTTCTTACGAAGCCACTCCTTCGTTGCCCGGGCGGTGTGGTTGGGATCATTGTCATGCTGAAAGACCCAGCCACGTTTCATCTTCAATGCCCTTGCTGATGGAAGGAGGTTTTCACTCAAAATCTCACGATACATGGCCCCATTCATTCTTTCCTTTACACGGATCAGTCGTCCTGGTCCCTTTGCAGAAAAACAGCCCCAAAGCATGATGTTTCCACCCCCATGCTTCACAGTAGGTATGGTGTTCTTTGGATGCAACTCAGCATTCTTTGTCCTCCAAACACGACGAGTTGAGTTTTTACCAAAAAGTTCTATTTTGGTTTCATCTGACCATATGACATTCTCCCAATCCTCTTCTGGATCATCCAAATGCACTCTAGCAAACTTCAGACGGGCCTGGACATGTACTGGCTTAAGCAGGGGGACACGTCTGGCACTGCAGGATTTGAGTCCCTGGCAGCGTAGTGTGTTACTGATGGTAGGCTTTGTTACTTTGGTCCCAGCTCTCTGCAGGTCATTCACTAGGTCCCCCCGTGTGGTTCTGGGATTTTTGCTCACCGTTCTTGTGATAATTTTGACCCCACGGGGTGAGATCTTGCGTGGAGCCCCAGATCGAGGGAGATTATCAGTGGTCTTGTATGTCTTCCATTTCCTAATAATTGCTCCCACAGTTGATTTCTTCAAACCAAGCTGCTTACCTATTGCAGATTCAGTCTTCCCAGCCTGGTGCAGGTCTACAATTTTGTTTCTGGTGTCCTTTGACAGCTCTTTGGCCTTGGCCATAGTGGAGTTTGGAGTGTGACTGTTTGAGGTTGTGCACAGGTGTCTTTTATACTGATAACAAGTTCAAACAGGTGCCATTAATACAGGTAACGAGTGGAGGACAGAGGAGCCTCTTAAAGAAGAAGTTACAGGTCTGTGAGAGCCAGAAATCTTGCTTGTTTGTAGGTGACCAAATACTTATTTTCCACCATAATTTGCAAATAAATTCATTAAAAATCCTACAATGTGATTTTCTGGGAAAAAAAATCTCAATTTGTCTGTCATAGTTGACGTGTACCTATGATGAAAATTACAGGCCTCTCTCATCTTTTTAAGTGGGAGAACTTGCACAATTGGTGGCTGACTAAATACTTTTTTTCCCCACTGTAGGTTTGTGAACGTAGCACACAGCAGTGACTATTATCGATAGCCATGAGAAATTGCTAATAATGACCATAATACTGAGCCTCAATCCTCAGGCTCAATATTTGACTACAAGTTTCAATATTATGTTTTACTTAGCATGTTGAATGATGAGAGCCCTCGATGGTGGGGCGGTTTTGAGAAGCACCTGGTCAGAGGGAGGTTTGGGTACGTACTGTGAAGATGAGTGACGGCAGAGGGGTCAGCAGGTCGGGGTGGATCATGGACAGCAGACTGGGGAGGTGGCCTTCTCTTGAGCCCACAAAGAACAACCTGACAGAGAGAACAGGGGTTATAGTATTTATACATACACACAAACCAAAAGAGCATACTTGTATATAGCATTGGAGTTTGTGTGTGAATGAATAAGTGTACGTCAGAGGAGTTTGGTGGGAGGAGCTATAGGAGGACGGGCTCATCGTAATGTTGAATGGAACGGAGTCAAACATGTGGTTTTATATGTTTGATGCGTTTTATACCGTTCCATTTATTCCATTCCAGACATTACAATGAGACCGTCCTCCTATAGCTCCCCCCACCAGCCTCCACTGGTGTAAGTGTGTGTGTGATACCTGGATGATGTAAAGAGAGAGCCATTGACAGAGCCGAAACAGGACAGTCCCACAAACACAGGGATGATCCAAGCCATGGGACCCAGGTGGTAGTTTCCAAAGTCCTGAAGGACAGACACACAAACAATATCAGCAAACAAAGTTTGTCTACCAGTCACTGGGCTGTGTGTACTGAGACATACAGTGATGTATGTAACCTGATACTGAGTGTGTACCAGTGGAGACAGACGGCTCTGTACTGTATGTACAGCTAATCTCGACACCATAAGGCCGTCACGAGAGACTAGTACAGCCTGGTTCAGTATGGGGGAGAACTCACCACAGCCACAGCCTCAGAGTTGAGCATCTCGTCTGGACTCAGAGTGGTGAAGTAGGCCAGGTTAGTCAGTACGTACACCACAGTGACGATGGGCAGGGAGATGATGATGGCACGAGGCAGGTTCCTGTGGAAGAGAGGGGGCAGTGAGCGGTTATAGAGTTTAACACTCCACCTCTGACATTATACTTCCTTTGTTTACCTACGTCGGAATAAAATCTGAAACAGACTGACACAGGAATCGTGTTAACATAAAACATGCATGTACCAGTAATTATTTTCAAAATTCATAGGTAGTCAATTTTGACCTATAGTATGTGACAAGGAACATGGAATAGTGGACACTCACTTGTAAGGTTCAATCATTTCTTCTGTAACAAAGTTCAAGTAATTCCTGCAAGATAAAGAAGACATGATTCAGAGACACAGAGAGACAGTCAGAACATAACACTGTGTGTCCATCTATTGTAATGTAGACAGGCTGTGATTTCATTGAGGGCGAGAGGAAGTATTAAATCATAGCTTTCATATCCCATAAAGGAACAAATCATTAACACACAGTGGTAAAAAGACCAGGCGGGAGAGGAAAGAGTGAGACTGTAACCAAGTTTCCATCCACAGTTTTTATGCGAGTAAAGTCATACCATATAAAAAATGTGACAGCTGTGATGGAAACAGGAACAATTTTGTAAACGCCAACAGATAATTGGTGGTGGGATCTTTTGTCTCTGTAAAATTAATTATGTGAGAAATGGAGGTGGAAACGCCTTTATGAACACCATGCATGGGGAGGATTAGTCTGAACAGACTTTTCAATTCACTTAGTAGAGTTCTTAATTGGTCAGTCCTCCTAAGAGGGGGTTTACAATGGGATTAGAATGGCAGACAAAATGCTGGCCTAGTGTTCAATAGTCCTGGATTCAGTCAAGTTCTAGTTCTCTGTACTTACCAGCCCCCATAGGCAAACAGACCACTGTACAGGGCCAGACCAATATTCCCAAAGTCGTAATTAGAATTCTTGAAAGAATTTTCTGGTAGGAGGTCGACTGTGTCACCTGGAAGAAGGACAGAAAGAGAGTTGGAAAGGTAAGTCCAAAGTTGACTCTGAATCATTGAACACAAAGTGGAAAGAATCAGCAGCCCTATGAATTGTGTCAGAGCAGGGCCCTGGAATGATGAAACACTAGATAACACATGATCAACTTGAAACCTTTGAAATAGTGCAGGGCTGGACAAATATACCCAGACAAAATATCACAGTAACATAATTCAGACCTTGATCAAAAGGCTGTGAGCATGCGGGGGTTCAACTTAAATCCCCTACAATCAACAGTAATGGGGGTTTCACTGATTCCACAACTCAGGGGGCTAGAATGGTGAGAGGGTACCTGTTTTTTTTAATGAAAAACAAGGCAAATATGTGGAGTGTATGCCTGAGGGAACACACCAGGGATGGACATTCCAGGAGTACCAGCTGGCCCAAAGAGCCAGACATCCTCTGAACAAACAATTCCCAGAGTGTTGTTTCAGACAGGGGCCCATGCTTAACCAGGACAAGCACTGGGACGTGAGAACCCCCCTGTCCCTCTTCATGTAGGACCATGACCTTCCACCTTTATTGTCCCCCAACTCTAAGCCTAAAGCCTGCATGATGTCCCAACATGGTAAGGGTCTTCCCAGGGTACTCCAACGTCACTTAGTACACTGAAACACTATGACACAAATACATTGGTAAGAAGTGGAGGGCGCTCAACCAACATCAAGGTGCAACCAAAAAATGAAATCATAATTGAAAAGGAAAATGCTCAGCACTCGCTCACCATTAAGAATTCATTGTTTTGTTTAAGCAAGGTTAAAAGATAAACGTTTCAGCCTTCAATAGCCTTCATCAGAATAATCACAACAAGGGAATAGACAAGTTCATAAAGGGCATTGGGAAGACAATTAGGAAGAAAACTCTCTTCAGCTGGTGCAAATGAGAGAGGGTGTGGTAGACTACACAGGTTGGTCCTCGGGGTGAGGGGTACTGCGGTCAATGTCTCCACCTGTTTTGGGGACGCGTACGTCCAGGAAGTCCAGACCACCCTCGTCATGTTCCATAGTGAAATGCAGGTGTCCCGAGTTGCAGGTTAGCGAAGTTCGGTGCAATACTTATGCCCATGGCGGTCCACTCTCCACTGCATGAAGTAGGGATCGTCAAGGATGGCACCGAACTTCGCAATTGTGTTTGTTGTCCGTAGCTTATGCCTACCCCATACCATAACCACACCGCCACTATGGGGCACTCTGTTCACAACGTTGACATCAGCAAACCGCTCGCCCACACAACGCCATACACGCTGTCTGCCATCTGCCCGGTACAGTTGAAACCGGGATTCATACGTGAAGAGCACACTTCTCCAGCGTGCCAGTGGCCATTGAAGGTGAGCATTTGCCCACTGAAGTCGGTTACGATGCCGAACTGCAGTCAGGTCAAGACCCTGGTGAGGATGATGAGTACGCAGATGAGCTTCCCTGAGACGGTTTCGGACAGTTTGTGCAGAAATTCTTTGGTTGTGCAAACCCACAGTTTCATCAGCTATCCAGGTGGCTGGTCTTGGACGATCCCACAGGTGAAAAAGCTGGATGTGGTCCTGGGCTGGTGTGGTTACGCATGGTCTGCAGTTGTGAATCCGGTTGGACGTACTGCCAAATGGGTTTTCACTATTTACCCCCATCTTTATCACTAGAAAGGTTACATCAACAACCCCACTCAGGTAAGGCTAACCTCTGAATCATTTTCTTCACGTTTTCTTTGTCAAGAGAGATACTAGCTTGGCCCACAAGCAGCCTCCAGCACTAGGTTCTCCTAGTTTGGAGCCAGCTTTATTATTTGGTCAAGATAACAAAACAATGACCTAGTAGTTTAAAACTTCTTAATACAATATCAGTGGATAGATAACAGCAACTGGTGGACTGCATGGCACATATCTGCCTAACTTTTGAATCAAGTGCTTGACAGGCAGGTAGATACAATTGGCAGTTACGTGATTAGCCACAGGGAGAATATGTGGGAAGTGGGCGTATGTGTGTTGTGTTCGGGGAGGGGTTAAAGTCGGTCACAGCAGCACGATGAGCAGCTGGGTCAGGTTGTAAATAAACCATTAAGAGATCCCGTTACAATACCGACTACCGTTCCTTCAACTGAGCCAGCAGAAAAAATGTGATGGCGAAACTATGGCCGGGCAAGCAGCCAAGGGGAGATAGTTGTTTTCAAACTGAGACAGACATGTACACATGAACAACACACATTAAAGACATGCAGACAAGGAATGTCCCTACAGAGCCTCACGACTGGCTCCAAAAGACAAACAAAAACACTTTTGATTGAAAAGGAACTGGACTATTGCAGTAGCCTAATCAGATTAGCTCGTAACAATCCTGTTGCCATTAACCTGCTTGAGCTTATTGCCAAATTAAGGAATGACCCAGAATCTTATACTTAATCCGTTTAACCTAGGTGACTGCCCGGTGTAGACAACAGTTGGTTTAAAATGCACTGAAGTGAGCATGTCTCTCAGTCAGGAAGAGAGAAAAAGGACAAGAGGAGCGTTAATTTGACCTCTGTGGTTAAATGTATCTCTCCAACCCAGTGGCGTCCCACCCAGACAAGACAAGACCAGACCAGCTCTGGAAGAGCCTCCTCCATACCACAGCCCTGTGCTGGCAGCAGGAGGACCCGAATAATTCAATATAAGTTATTTCACAACACTGAGTTAGTCACAGGGCATTAAAACTATCACGCACACACACCGACAGACAAAGAAATACAGACAGACACACTTAAGTAATTTAGCAGATGCTCTTACACAGAGTGACTTACAACAAGTTCATTCAAGTAAAGACAACCACTACCATGATCATTGCAAGTAAAACCTTCATCAAAAATAGCCTCTATTGGAAAGATCAGTCCTAGTAAGAATGAACAAGAAACAGTTAAGTGTTAAAAGTTGATATTTTTTGTGAAAACTTAGACAGTAACCAATGCTCATTGGGGCCAACAAGAGATTAATTTACAAATCCATCGTGAGAAAATGGCCATCTGACATAAGCCCATCCCCAACTTCCACTCCCACCCAGCACTAACATATCGACCCTGCAGACACAGACACCCATAGCTCTTCTTTATTTAAATATATTTTCCCCCTCTCAGAGCCTGCCATTCATCTGTCTGTGACCACTGGCAGAGTCAGACAGGACCATGCAGATGGATGGGAGGAGAGTGGGGCTGCTGTTGAAGACAGAAGATAGAGCGCTGGGAAACCGTATTTAACTCTGAATTATTGCTAGTATTAAATCCACCAAGCCGTTTATAGTGTCTGACAAAAATAGCTAAAAGTACACCACCAATGTCACGGTTCATTCAATCTAGTCTGGTGCTTTAAGAGAGAGCTCACCCACTGGGCAAGGACATCAGTTCAACGTCTAGTTTTGATTTACATTAGGTTGAGTTGTCAACTAATGTGAATTCAATGCGAAATCAACAAAACTTTTTACCATGTCATTGGATTTAGGTTCAAAGATGGGTGGAAAAAAATACTAAATGCCCTTACGTTGATTACTTTTTACAAATCCAATTAGTTTTCATTGTTGATTTAACGTCAACACATTGATTTCTTGGGTTGAAATGACGTGGAAACAACGTTGATTCAACCAGTTTTTGCCCAGTGGGCAGTGCTCTGGCCTGCAAAGAAACTCTCTCTCATACACTTCACCCTTAACTTCATGTGCCAGCTCAACTTCAAATGCATTCAAATATACAACCAGGAGAGGGGAAAGAGATGTGATAACAGGAAAGAACAGGACCAGCCATGGCTACACAGCAGGCCATGACTACACATATTCACCCAACAGAGGGTATCTGGCCCCTAAGGGCACAGGGTTACCTGGGAAAGGTTAGCAGTCTCAGAAACGGTTCCCTGAGCAGCGTTGCAAATGTATGCACCTTAGACATTACAGTCTGGGTACACTGAAGGAGGGGGGGCTTGCCTCTGGTAAGTAGGGTGGCACCTCTTTGTAAGCTGTTTAGTTAAGCTTGAATCACTCATTTGCCCCCATGCACTAACCACACACTTCTGTAAAGGAATTCTCATTTGCTAACTTGCTACAGTAAAACATCAGGTTACAAAATGTCAGGCATCTCCAGGACAAAGGTCTTAAAAAGTGCAATTCCTTGCACTTCAACAGTACCTTTTATTCTAACATAATTACTTTTACATAACATTAAATTAGTCTGACTGGAAGACTTGTTTGTTTTCCTTCAAGGTGGCCCATAAGCCCAGTCTGGGCACTGAATCAGTCCACACTGAATCAGTCCACACTGATCTCTCAATCAGTAATGACTGGCCCTCAGCTCTCCTTCCTCCCGCAGGACAATGGAGTAGTGTTTTACTGTTGGAACATGGTAAGGTTGTTTTTATGCCTCTCATTTGGTCTGAACATCTTAATTGGACCAAAACAGTAGTGGATTGAATGGTGATGTCTGTTTGACTAATATCTCTCTAAGTTAATGAGAATAATCTTATGAAAATAACCTTCCTTAGGACCCCAGTTGGGACCCTTGAGTTGGGAACAGGATGGGTATAATATTTATTCTTTGTTTGCCGTTTCTTTTATACATTCTGTTCTTACATTGTGCAACATACGGTTTTTCCCCTGGCTTCTGCGATAGCAGCAGCTTCCTGTGTTCTCAAAGACTGACTCATGTTTTAGCTGCTGAGATGTGAAGCTGCCTTTGTGCATATAGAAATGATAGGGCGTATTTGATATTGCTACATTTATTTTCAAAGCCTGGAGGAGATGTTTTTTGGTATAGTGTTACAAAATGGTAGCTGTACTTGCCATGATTATTTTGCATACGTGTAAATTGTATGTCATTTTGTTTTGTCCACATGATTCTTCAAGATATAGTGTCTTATAAGCCCATATGAAACTGAAATAAAATCAATAAATAATGATAATGCTTGATCCTGCTAGTCAACAGGAAGAAGACTTCTACTCTCTATTTTTCAAAAGTTACCCATCGGATATTAATTATATTTCTATGCATTTAATCCTATCCGATAGCCAAAATCCAGATGATAACTTTAGAAAAACTGGGCCCTGGGCTAAGACAGTTACTTCACTCTCTTGGGGACACCCTACCTCTATGGGGAAACACCGTATTGGCCACGCAAACTTCCTGCTCTGGCTCACGTGACACATCGTTATTGGGTCTGACTTATAATATATATAACAATATATGCCATTTAGCAGACACTTCTATCCAAAGCGACTTACAGTCATGGGTGGTCCCGGAATCGGACCCACTACCATAGCGTTACAAGCGCCATGCTCTACCAACTGAGCTACAAAAGGACCACTTCCTTTCCTGTCGCATGGCACTTTATGGCTTGTCTATTTAGTTTTCACTGTGTACCTCATCCTGTAAAGTGCATTATGATGAGCGTGTTAGTGTTTTTGTGTGGCTGTATCTTACCTTTGCCAATCTCCACAAAACCGATAATGATGATGAGGCCCAAGGCAAGGAGCTTGGCAGCTGCAAAGGCATCCTGGACCCGCGTGGCTGCCTTCACACTGTAGCAGTTTATAGCAGTCAACAGCACTGGGGTAAGAGAGAGGAAAAGGAAGAGGGAGTGTGTGAGAGTTATGCCTTTTTATTTGTTATTACTGTCTACATGAATGAGCCCAAAAAAGGTTTCTTTCTCCCTCCTTTTGTAAGCTCAATAACTCCTGCTGAAGGTACTAAATGTTTGTGTAGCATCCACTCAACACGCACAGCGGGACCCTGAGGCTAGGGTTGGGAAACCTCAGCACCCAGCCCACATTATTTATGTGATTGGGCGGCAGGTAGCCTGGCGGTTAAGAGTGTTGGGCCAGTACACCGAAAGGTCACTGGTTCGAACCCCCCGAGCCGACTAGGTGAAAAATCTGCCGATGTGCCATTTAGCAAGGCACTTAACCCTAATTGCTCCTGTAAGTTGCTCTAGATAAGAGCGTCTGCTAAATGACTAAAATGTAAATGATCAGTGCGTTGGACCGCTGTGAGGTGTGTCATGTGGCACAGAAGGGGGAATAGTTCAGAGACCCAGTAAACAGATTCTTGAGGGAATAAAATCAAGGTCCTCCCCTCCCTGTCCCTCTGACTCCCCATTAAAAGAGATTAACTGACGAGCACTTTAAAGAACCATAAATAAAATCAACAACAATGGGCAACAATGGGGAACAAACCAGCACAAAGAGAGCCTGTGTGGGAGAGTACAGTATAGACTGGGAGGAATGGTACACACACAGACACGAAAACACACACTCTCACTGAGAGTGAGAATGAGAGAGCAAACCTGTTGCCTGTGGGATCAGGGTAAAGGGACTACCAAGGCAGAAAGGCTTCAGAGTCTCAGCCTCCTAAACAAACGACATGGACTGAACCTGTGGTTTCCACCCACAACTCCCTAAAGAAGTCAGACAGAGCCAGCCAGGGGGCCACTATGTAAAACCTCACTATTGTGGACCTATACATTAAACTAAAGCACGGCGACCTAATAACTACAAAACACCAAATAAATCACTGGAACAATAACTCACAGTCAGTCAGAAAAACACCCTAGCCTAGCACAACTCAATGGATTAGCAAAACTGCATGGAACAGCATTGTGGATAAGAGAAGCTTAGCTATCCTGACTGACCATGTCAACTCCCAAGACCAGAATAAGTAGACTAGACAAACATCTTGGCTTCAACCCTTTCTCTACATCTATATATGTGCCCTGGCCAGGCCGCCCCTCTATCTCAGTCTCTATCATGTAGTCACTGTTGGGGATTACACACTCAGAAAAAGGATTAGAGACTAGCGCAGGCACTATACCATACGACGACATTCACACACACACATTCCTGCACCTTAATCAGGCATTCATACCAGTGGAGGCTGCTGAGGTGAGAACGGCTCACAATAATGGCTGGAATGTAGTCAATGGAATGGTATCAACCACATGGTTTTCATGCGTTTGATACCATTCCTTTCACTCCATTCCATCCATTCCAGCCTTTATTATGAGCCGTCCTCCCCTCAGCAGCCTCCACTGATTCATAACCCCAACAGAGAAATGTATGCTGCAAGAGAGATGGATCCAAAAAGGGCAACAGTCTAACAGAGAGCTGCAATGGGAGAGCAGAAAGAAAAGTCTGCTTGAGAGGACTAGCAATTTCCACAATGTGAGACTGTTTTTGATTTGTTGGCTAATTAATGCAGAGCTCAAACTAATCCACCCATAATCCCAACTGGCTAACTACTATCCAACACTGCACAACAGTAGCACTGAGAGATTAGTGCTTTTTCAGGTCGGTTCGGTTTTGGTTCTATTTTTTTTAAATAATGAAGGTTTTCGATTTCGGTTTCTATTATTTGGGTTGAATGCACAGAATACAACAATAAAACAAAGTCCCATTATGGTAGTGACTGCTCATCACTTATTAACCATCATTTATTCACATGACTTTACTTTAATAAAATATTTCAGTTGTGTATATTACATTTGTTTTATTTGATGACTTTCTTATTTCATTCCAAGGCATCATCTCATCTCTATAGAGCTGCTGCATATGCGGTCTGACAAGATCACTATTTTGTAGTACTCCAAAGTAAATAAGGCATGCTTTTATGACTGCTCAATACCAACTATTAATCACTTAGATCACGTATTTTCATGTAGAGATACTATACCTCGCGAAGCAACAGCTGCTCTCTATATCCCCTCACGATCGCGCATTCTTCTGCCTCTTCCGTAGCAGGCATAAAAGAAAGAGACTACAAATGCGTTTTATGTGCTAAACTATGTAGAATATTGGCCTGTAAGAAACTACAAATTCCTACTACGTCATACAGTTCAGGCTGGAGCTGATTTATCTCTAGAGAATCTGTGCAATTTGTGCATTGAGCTCACAGAAAAAAACTGAACAAAATTCAAAGCATTCAAGTAATTGAACCGACTTTGGTCCATTTGTTGTTTAAAAAACGAAAAATAACCGAAATGTCATCGTTCAGCACAACACAACAGCCATGCCTGTTTCTGACTAGCCAACATCCACGTGTTGAACTTCACAGTGCCACCTGATTCACAAAAACATTTATAGAACATCTCTTACTGAATGTATAGGCCTATAAATTGGAGAAGACAAGATTGTTGATATCATACGAATAAACAAAGTGATAAAGGCGTGTCAAAACTTAACACATCCCTTATCACACTGATATTGCACATAGTGAGTCACATCACATGCCTTTTTACATTTACATTATTTAGCAGACGCTCTTATCCAGAGCGACTTACAGGAGCAATTAGGGTTAAGTGCCTTGCTCAAGGGCACATCGACAGATTTTTCACCTAGTTGGCTCGGGGATTAGAACCAGCGACCTTTCGGTTACTGGCACAACGCTCTTAATCACTAAGCTACCTGCCGCCCATTTTATTACTGTTGTTTATACCCGCGCATTAAGGGTCAGTGAGAATAATGTGCGCAAGATGTGTGACTGAATTAATGTCATTTGCATATTGTGAGAAAACAATCATCTATTGTAGATGTTTTATATTTATATTTTATTTACATTATTTTTCTTATTCTTATTTTAATTATTAATTATCTTATCTGGAGATAAATAAAATGTCCATGTGACCATGTGGCGCCTGGGTAATGCTACACAAAACGCCGGCCTCTACCAACCAAAGATGATGAAATAACGTGCTATTTTTTCAACAGTTCCATTCAACTACAGTAGACCTAGCCTACACCGAGCTTTCGTTTGGGTGAGTGGCGTGCGCTCTGCCAAGAGAACAGTGTCGCAGTGATCAAGATTTTGGCATCATGTATCAACATAGTCCAGGAAATTACTAAATGTAGTTTCATTAAAATTACTTTCATAAAACAGTGTCTGTTGGAAGACACATTTGCATACTACAATATCCTGATGTGGCGCCATTCGTAAAGGAAGATGCAACGTGTGTTACAACCAGTTCCACCTGATATAGTAGCACTGAGTTTGAGAATAGTAAATTACATCAGAATGGCTACTTACAGATGCAAAGACAGGCTATCAGCTTCGCCCCATTCTCGGGTACTGGGCAGTCAGGGAATATTGGTTTGAGGAGGTAGGTAGCGAAGACGTAAGCGACAATGTACTGCGATGACGGCCGGATGATGAGCAACTCGATCCACAGTTTCAGGAAAGCCGGCAGGGAACCATACACTTCAAGGATGTAAGCATAGTCTCCACCTGATTTGGAAATAGTGGTGCCCAGCTCAGCATAACACAGGGCACCTATGGTTGAGAACACTCCACACACTGCCCAAACGACAAGGGACAGTCCGACGGACCCGGCTTCCTTCACCACTCCAGTCGGGGTCACAAAGATACCCGAGCCGATGATGGTACCCACTATGATAGCTACGCCATTCACCAGGGTAATGGTTCTTTCTAGGACAACCTTCTCTTCCCCGGGTACGGACACCTTGTCCGGGCTTCCCATTCGGCTCGAGTTTCCATTCTCCCCTCCGACCGGAGAGAGCATCTTCTCCGTAACCTCCTTGTCTTCCACATCCCGGTCGGCTGACGAATTCGAATTTCTTTTCTTTAAACTTGACATTGCTCGCTCCTGTGGGGACACAGCTTTGGTGTCTGTGTCTCTCCTTGCGTTATTTTTTTCTCCAATTGAATGTTTATGCTCCTGAAGCTCAGACACGATGCTGACACAGAAACGCGTGCTGTGTCAACGCAACTCTGTGTACAAAGGATTTGAGTAAAAAGCATCATGGTCCGTCTAGGACAGCCTCTTCCTTTTCTCCTTTCATGACAGCGTCACAAATCCACCCCACACGATGCTGCTCAATGCGAGACCAAAGCTTTTGCGCCCTCTAGTGATGTCTCAGACAGGGCCAAACTGTCAGACCAGCTGAACTGGTTTTATTGGCACTCTCTACAGGCATTAGTGAATTTTAATACTAGAAAGGGCATTGTGGCGAAAAAGCAGTAAGTGCTCTCTGCACAAATGGCTCACTATCTCCCGCCAATCCGTGCCTATTAATTGTTCCATGGTGTGAATTGTTTACCCTTTGTTTATTAATGTGTATCCAATGTCCCGTTAAATATATTACCAGTAGTAAAGTTACCGTTAATTCTTGCCATTTCCAGTAATTTCTCATATTACTACATTAATTTAGTCTACGGTTTTCATTCTTGAAGTGGACACGTTGTTTGGATAGCTCACAAACTGTGCTACACTTGTGTGAAAGGAGATTAGGTTTATTTCATTATATTTACCAGTTTTCTGTCAATTTCTTAATTGTCTTTTGTTTGGAGTGCTCCATGTGTGCATGATAGCCTATTTCTTTCTTTCTTTAAACTTTTTGGATTATATGAATTTTTTTTTGTATTGCTAGGTAGGCTATTATTACTGCACTGTTGGGGCAAGAAACACAAGCATTTCGCTGCACCTGCGATAACATCTGTAAATGTTTTGATGTGTCTGGCTTCTCCTTCTGGTAGACCTAATGTTGTGTGAACTCGCGCCATTGCATGCATATAAGTACCTGCTGAGCCTATAGCAGGGGTTCCTAAACTTTTTTGTCCCACGACTCCATTTTGATATCAGAAAATTGTCGCAACCCCAACCATGTGGAATTTGTAAAAATAATTAACAGTCAATGTTTACTTTTTTATTTGGGGCTATGGCAGTCAGTTGAAAAACATTAAAACAGTATTTCTGATTATCTTCTCAACTCACCATCACATACTTGTAATGTGGGGCTATGACAGTGGATTGCAAATTAGTCTGACATAATGTATCTTTTCTCACCACCAGTAATGAGATGGGTGTGCGTGTGCTTGATGCATGTCGCCACGGAGCTTCTCAAAGTCAGGGGGCGTGGTCGACAGTGTGCACCTCATCTCTGCTGTCATGTCCAGCCTGGATCGATATTTGGTGTTAATGCAGAGGAGAGCACTGAATCCAGCTTCACACAGATATGATCTGGCGAAGGGTACCATGAGTTTTATGGGGCTTTCAAGACAACTGGGAACTCTGAAAAATACGAAGTCAAAAGATGATGTCAGTGATCTTCAGGTCGGAAAGTTGAAACTCTAGAAAGAGGAGGTCCCGCAAGTTGGTGACAAGAGCAGCAGCATCCCTGTGAACTCTGAGACAGTTATGGAGTACCACGTTTCATTGAAGTATTGAACCGCAAACGTATTTACATTATGAAAGGAATTTAACAATGTCACTTTTGAACCAAAATCAAGAAGATTTACAGTACGTGCTAGTTGAGACCGAAAAGCGAACTTTCTCTGTGCACCTGTTGGCTAGCCAGTCAGGTTAGCCAAGTAGCTGGATAGCTAAGTTACTGCCTGTGCGGTAAAAAAAGTTAGCTAGCTATTTGTTTAGTTAACGTTAGCTTTGCGAGTGACGATGCCGAAGAGGGATTCTAGTAAGGTCAGAAAGGGTGGTTTATTGATGGATGTTGAAGCTGCTTTTGAAGGACTTTGTACTCCTTTACCAGACACACATATCAAGAGTCCTAACCCAAAGAAAGTGTGCTGCACTAGGGAGGAGAAGGGCGAGATTAAGGAGGATGCTGTTTCAAATACTGACATCCTGAAAGTGGTCACGGCGCTGTCGACACGTTTTACAGCCCTCGAACAAACGATATCCAAGAACAGAGGCTATTACCAACATATGTGTTGAGCTGAAATGGGTGGAAATTAAAGTTAATATAAATAAGGATAATGTGAAGAAAATTACAAGCCGTGTCACCGAGTTGCAAGAAAGAAGTGAGGAGGCTGAAAGGTACAGTAGGAGGTGGAACTTACGGCTCTACAGCCTTCCTGAGACCCGCAACGAAGATGTGAGGAAAGAGGTTTTCGAAGTTTTGGCCATGATCGCTCCAAAGACGGAAAAACTTGGATTCCTGGTGGACACGGCGCACAGAGTTGGATACCCCCGAGACAAGACAACCCGGCCTGTTATCATACAATTCACCATGCGCACATTCAGAAACAAGATATGGAGAGCATCCCATGACGCAGAAGTCCTGAAAGAGAGAAAGCTTTGTGTGAAAGAGGATCTGACACATCTCGAGAGGCAGCTAAGGGATAAACTATGGCCACTGGTTGATAAGGTACGTAAGGAAGGGAAAAAGGCTGGATACAGAGGACCCAACACTTATATCGTTGGGAAGAAAGTGTTAAATTGATGACCTCAGCGATAGATCCAACCAACCGAGGATGACCTAGCAGGAGCAGACAGGATTCACATTGATAATGACCATTTTGTTATATGGTAAATTGTTGGTCTATATGTGGTACCTCGTTTTGTTCAGAGTTTTTTTCTATTCTCGCAAGTGCCTTTACTCTTAGATAGATTATCTCAGAGTTACAATCCTTCATCTAGTTCAATCAGATTTTGTTTATCCATGACAGACTTCAAGTTCAGTTCTTTGAAAGTAACTTCACTCAATGTTAAAGGGGTACATGACAGCATAAAAAGGAAATCTATTTTCATTTACAGTAGACGTGGCAATGCAGATATTATGTTATTTCAGGAGACTCACTCCTGTGACAATTAGGTAAAATGTTGGAAAGCACAATCGGAGGGGGGGATCAAGCATATTTCTCCCATGCTTCATATCATTCAGCAGGTGTCGCTATTTTATTTAACAGATTTAGAGATTATGCTTTAGAGACAATTTTTTCGGGAGATGGTCAATGGATCATTGTTGTGTTCAAATTGGACAATTTCCATTGTATTGCTTGTAATGTATATGGACCCAATGGTACTGCACAGGCCAGGACTATGTTTACACAATTGTCTTTAAAATTGAAGATACTCCAGGATAAACATAGAGGAGCTTGCCTGATTATTGGAGGTGACTTTAATGATGCACCGGATGACTTAAGGGCTCGTTTGCCACCAAGGACATTTCAACAGCCAAGATTCAAGGCTACCTCTTTTTATCTGTGACCAGTTGTTGGTATCAGACACTTGGCGGTCTTTGAACCCTAATGGAAAAGAGTTAACTTGGAGCAGTGCTAACATAACTCTTCAATCTAGAATTGACCTATGGTTGATATCCCCTGGTTGTTTGCGGTTTGTGTCAGAACTCACACTGTTGTGGCCCATTATCGGATCATAAGATGATAGCCCTTAGTCTTGTTGGTTCTAAAGAAAAGAGTAACCATATTCGTGGTTACTGGAACTATAATAATAATTTATTAAAGGATGAGTTATTCATTGACACTTGAAACAACTACTAAGGAGATATTTGGGAACGAGCAAATGGGTCATGTACAAAGATGGTCTTTTTTAAAGTGGAAGGTCAGGGAATTTGCAAAAAGCGTAGTAAATATTTTTTTTTAAATTGACTCAACCAAGGAAGTTAAAATTATGGAAAATCTGAATGATCTGCTTATAAAAGATAATCTTACAGTAGAAGAGGAAATAACACTTAAGAAATGTACAGCAGAAATTGATAAGATTGGCTAAAGGTGCCTTTATAAGGTCAAGAGTCAAATGGCTGGAAGAAGATGAAAAGAATACTAGTTACTTTTTTGCCTTAGAAAAAAGGAATCGGAAAATACACAATATTGTCTGCTCTAAAGATAAATGACAATCTTAACACTAATCCTATAGAAATAGCAGAGCATGTGAACTCATTTTATGGTAATTTGTATGAATCAAATTTCAATCTCGAGGATTGTGATAGCTTTATTGAACAGGTAAAGGGCTTTACTCCAACAATTTCAGAACAATTCAAATCATACTGTGAGGTAGATATAGTGCATTCGGAAAGTATTCAGCCCCCTTGACTTTTTCCACATTTTGTTATGTTACAGCCTTATTGTAAAATTGATGAAATAAAAAAATGATCATCAATCTACACACAATACCCCATAATGACCAAGCGAAAACAGTAAGTATTCAGATCGTTTGCTATGAGACTCGAAATTGAGGTCAGGTGCATCCTGTTTCCATTGATCATCCTTGAGATGTTTCTACAACTTGATTGGAGTCCACCTGTGGTAAATTCAATTGATTGGACATGATTTGGAAAGGCACACACCTGCCTATATAAGGTCCCACAGTTGACAGTGCATGTCAGAGCAAAAACTAAACCATGAGGTCGAAGGAATTGTCCGTATAGCTCAAAGACAGGATTGTGTCGAGGCACAGATCTGGGGAAGGGTACTAAAAATGTCTGTTTGGAACCACCAAGACTCTTCCTAGAGCTGGCCATCCGTCTAAACTGAGCAATCGGGGGCCTTGGTCAGGGAGGTGACCAAGAACCTGATGGTCACTCTGACAGAGCTCCAGAGTTCCTCTGTGGAGATGGGAGAACCTTCCAGAAGGACAACCATCTCTGCAGCATTCCACCAATCAGGCCTTTATGGTAGTGGCCAGACGGAAGCCACTCCTCAGTAAAATGCACATGACAGCCCTCTTGGAGTTTGCCAAAAGGCACCTAAAGACTCTCAGACCATGAGAAACAAAATTATGTGGTCTGATGAAACCAAGATTGAACTCTTTGGCCTGAATGGCAAGTGTCACGTCTAGAGGAAATCCCTACGGTGAAGCATGGTGGTGGCAGCATCATGCTGTGGGGATGTTTTTCAGCAGCAGGGACTGGAAGACTAGTCAGGATCAAGGGAAAGATGAACGGAGCAAAGTACAGAGGGATCCTTGATGAAAAACTGCTCCAGAACGCTCAGGACCTCAGACTGGGGTGAAGGTTCACCTTCCAACAGGA